GCAATATATCGTTTTTCTGAGACTGGAGGTTCAGAATTTGGGGCTATAATTAGAATATAAGCATTGATATTAGTACTGGCTACAGACCCCCTGGAAATAACACCTGTACAAGCCCAGAGGTAGAACTTTGAGCCCTGATTTTGTGTGAATTCCTCCCAAATAAGCAGGAATTCCCCAAGAGCTGTTCCACACAGAGATGACTCTGCAGTGAGACACAAAACCTTCCCCACCTCTCAGAGCCAGGCAAACCCCAGCTCCTGCCCCACTCAACTGTGAATTTCTAGCACCTTTCATTCACTGAAACCCAAACCCAGCAAGGAACACAAACCATAACTTTTCGCCCTATCCATAATTTAGAACAACCTTCAGGCGTTTGCAACAGCTGGAATTAAATGGGAAATTAAACTATTCCCCCAGGGGGGTGGGGTGGAGGCAAGGAATGCATTTAGAAATAAGTACACAAGTAGTTCATGGTGCTTTTGTGGGGATTACTCAGCACATCTCTTTAGCAGTCCCCTGACACGTTTTTTAGGATATTACCTGAAGCATCCTGAGTTTAAGCTGCCTTAATGCCTCCAGCACACTCCCAGCTCCCCCTTCCAAGGGCATTCTCAGCCTGGAAAATCATTTTTCTCCCATTGTAAATCCATAAAAACCACACCAGGCCTTTCTAAGTGCTGAAGGCCAGGTTAAAGTGTGTGCCCCCTCCTTTTTTGGGAGGTTTTAAATGAGTAAAGAAATGAAGTTGGCTGTTATTGTAGGGTATAAATGAAAATATTCCCTTTCCATCGGGCCCTGCCGCAGGTAACCCTCAGACTTTTAAGGAAAGTGCTGATGCTCTCAAATCACAGCCTGAGCTGAGACAAACATCTCCTTTTGTAAAGAAATAAAACCTGGAAAATGTTAAATGTGGAGCCAGGAAAGGATGGGGCACCTGCAGAGCCCCAAATTTTTCATCCCACAAAAGTGACAAAAATGGGAATTTGAGAAGTGACAGGAATTCACAATTCCTGTGGATTGTTTCTAATCTCTCCCTTCCTGCTGGAATAAATTGACATTTTAGGAGTGCTGCATTTATTTAAATGCCACCCTGGCACGTAAATATTTGATTCCATAACGATTATTGGCAGTCGTGATAAAACAGCTCACAAGTTCACCCCCTGAGTTTATTTATTGCATGAAAGGATTTGCCCAGAAGCAAATTTTGGTGGGGATGAGAGCTTGTATTGACACAGAAAAATTAAATGGGAATTTTATTGTCATAAAAATATCAGGATTGAGCTAATCACACCCCAGCTGTCAGTGACAGAGAGAGAGATTTATCAAAATATTGCAAAATTACAAGGCTGTGGAGCAGGGCTGGGTTTGGGGTTTTTTCCCATATCATTTTGATATTAGATTAGACAAGAGTCTATCTCACCAGTGCACTCTCAGTTGCCATAATGCCATAGTTAACTGGGAAAATTCATCTTTATGAACAGGAGAATACCAGTGATTAATCATTAATTATAAAACCTGAAGAGACAGAACCATCAGGCTGACGTTTTATACTGATAGAAGAGCTGTGAGACCACGGTGTGCACAATAAGTGGCCCCTAATTATTGAAGGAGTAGCTTGGGCTGGTTTATCTGTTCAGGCAGTGCCACAGGAATCAGATTTGGGCCTGGTTTGAAGGAAAATGGGGCTCTGACAGCCAGGAGGTTGGGAAGGAGCTGGGAGCAGCAGGAATGTGGGCCCTGACATCCCAAAGCCACGATCTCAGGAGGGTTTGTGTTGCAAGGACCTTAAATGCCAACCCAGCCTGAAGTCTTAGGATTTTATTTTTCTCTTTTCCATGCATTTGTAAGCCTGCAGTTCTTTCCAGAACTCCAAACTCCACTCCCAGCATCAGCTGCTGCTTTCCCATTCTGGGCAGACACAACAATTCCTCCCCAGGCCTGGCAATCAAGGACACCTCAGTGCCCCAGGCCCCAGCAATGGCAACAAAAGGGAGCTGGGGCAGCAAACTTGGGCTAAATGCCTTCATCAGCTGCAGCTGGAATTGCAGGATTGACCCCAATGTGCAAATGGACCAAACTTGTCAAAGTGTGAAACCCGGGAGCCGTGGGACATTTTGGGTGCAGCCCCTGGGGGGCTTCACCTGCCCTAAATGTGCCTGGAGGGCCCTCAATAAATAGAAATAATAAATAGAAATAATAATAAACAGAAATAAATATAAATAATAATAAATACAACTACTCTTTATTCCCTTAATTCTGTCTGGCCTCTGTTTTAGGTAGCCCCAAAAGGCATCAATCCCAGCCCTGCCATGGCAGGGACACCTCCCACTGTCCCAGGTGCTCCCAGCCCTGTCCAGCCTGGCCTTGGGCACTTCCAGGGGTCCAGGAGCAGCTACAGCTCCTCTGGGAATTCCATCCCAGTTCCTTCACACCCTCCCAGGAACAATTCCTTCCCACTATCCCATCTGACCCTGCTCTCTGTCCATTTGAAGCCGTTCCCTGTGTCCTGTCCCTCCATCCCTTCTCCAAAGTCTCTCTCCATCTTTCCTGCAGCTCCTCCAGGCCACACTGAGCTCACCCCAAAGCTTCTCCTCTCCAGGCTGGACAATCCCAATTCTCCAGCCTTTCCTCCCAGCAGAGCTGCTCCATCCCTCTGATCACCCTGGTGCCTCCTCTGGAGTCGTTCTTCAAATATTTCCATGAAAAACTCCAAAAAGTTCCATTTTCTCATGGAAACCATGTTGTAGTTGGTCACACTTGAAGCAATTCCCCCCTGTCCTAAGCCACAACATTCCAAACTTCCCTCACTGCCGCGTGTTTATAACACACAAAGTTCCTGGAGTGGGTTCCAGGAAAAGGTCCTGGCCCCCTCTCTCTTTAATCCTCATCCAGAGCCTTCCTTTCTGTCCCACCCATGCCAAAGGCAAGACTTGTCCTCTGAAGGAGAAAAGATAAATTAAGGAAATGGAAAAGAAAGAAAAAAAAAAAAACACCCTCAGATAGGAAAATGTCTTTCATGCTCTGGAAGCAGAATTTAGAGACTTCCTTTATCTGGGGTTTTTGTCCATCCCAAAGCCTCAATTTGTTCTTCCCTGATTGTTTTCTAACTTTTCCAATTATCTCAGGGGGGCATCAATTTGTTTTCAAAGTCAGGCATTAATTTAAAACAACACTTTGAGCAATCCTGCTTGTTTCTTTCTGAAGGTCTTTTTAATGGCACAAGCATCTGCATAGCCCATCAATCTTCCCTCCTGGATATCTGGAGAGCCATCTCTGTCCTTACAGAAAAGCTGCTCCAGGAGCATTTATTAATTCCAAAAGATTCAGATATCTCATTATGCCTTACCTGGAGAGCCTCTTGCTGGCTGGGGACACAGTTTTGCTGCAATTGTCTCCAACTTGACTTTTTTTCTCCCTCAAAAATTACCCCCAGAAAGCAGCAGATTTAATGTAAATAATTGTAAATAATGCTGATTAACAGTAATATCATTTACCTGGCCTGAGGTGCCTTGGGAGTGAATATTCCATAGAGCTGGACTCTCCTTTAAGCATAAGGAGAATATTTGTATTTGTAGCCTGTGAAATCCTACAGTGCTTATTTCAGATGTTAATCAGGATTAGCCAGGCAATTCTCCACTCTGGCCTTAACTGTTTGTAACTGAGTTTGTTCCTGAGCAAAGATTTGCTGGGATGAGTAGAAAAAATGGCATCAACAGCTTTTAACCCTCTCCAAGGCACAGACTTGGCTGCTCTCTCTGCCCAACAAAGAATCCAGTATTGCCACACCTTTTATCCTTTTTACCAAAATTTGAGAATTGAGACCTAAAACCAGCAGGAAATCAGCTCCCTGAGTTACCCAAAGTTTTCCAAATACTTCCAGGAAGACTCTTCTGCTTCCCTGAAAATATCCACTGTATTTTTCTTTAATTAATATTTTAAAGATCCACAGCTCCCTAAGGAAAAACATCACTGAATGCTTGGGATATTTTGGATTTGCCATGAATCTCTCCAGATTACACACAACTCCTTAAAATTATTTTGGAAAAAGAACCTCAGAGCTTGCAGAGTCCATCCCAAACACACCATCTCCTCAAGCCCTCAAACAGCTCATTACTATGGCACTAATTAATTACATTAATTTTTAACTCTTTCCCCTTACAGAATTAAGGAAATGAGACAGTATGAGAAAGAGGAGAGGATAAGAATTTCTACCATCCTCTCATTAGAGCAGCTGATGCAGCAGAGATGAGTCAGAACCCTGAATAAACTTAAATTGTGTACTGGGAGGGCAATATCCCCAGTTTTTAGCTGGATTGAGCCTTGTGATTATTATTTAAATTTTGGGTATTTTTCTTTATGATAAAAATAACAAAACCCCTCATTTTCCTATGCAGAGAATTGCCAGTAACCAGGAAATCAAAGGGGCATTTCCTGCTTGCTTTCCCACGTTGGTTACTCTGTTTCAGGTCAATAACTGAGCTCCAAACTGAAAATTAACATGCAAAAACTGTTTACAATGGTATTTTAATTAAGGAAAGCACCTTACAGACCATTTAATGTAGTCAATCACAGTTTGTGCTTCCAAGGAAATCCTCACTCATGAAAAATCAATGAGCTTCGTATGTTTTCATGAAAGGTTCCAGATTCCTTTTTAAGCAAGGTCCAGAGTAAAACCCCAATTTTGTGGCCTTACCACAAAGGTCGTTATCCCCGTGCTAATAAAGCACCAGATTTGGGATATAAGGATTAACATTGTGCTTCACATGGGATAGGCTGGACTGTAGAATCACAGCACTTTGAAATGGCACATTTAAATAGCAGCTGAAATGTAAATAATAATAATATTTGTAATAATTGCAAATAATAATAATAAATGTAAATGCAAATAAACACCAAACTGCTACAGGAACACCACAGCACCACTTTGAGAAGTGCTAATAAAACATACACAAGTTTGTCATGGAATACTCCAAAAGTGCAGGGAAATTATCACAACTTACCCTCCTGGATCAGGCAAAAGCTGGTATTTCTCAAAGAGAAAGAATCCCTTCACTTTCCCCATCTCTGCCACTTTTTAACCCTAAAACACCAGCTGAGAGTTGGGGCTGGAAGCACAAAACTCTCCCTGCCTTTACCTCAAACTCCACCTCATCTCAAAAGCCACTAATGAGGCTCCCCTTTAATTTCTGGCTGCATTAAGGAAATTTAATTAAGCCACAATTGCAGGCGGCTGAAAATGCAGAGCCTTTCTTGCCTCGAATTAAATCCCAGTTTTGTTGCATTAAGGGTGAGTGATCACTGAGGAGTTGCATTCATTGGCTCAATCAGCCCAGGGACATTAGCACCAGATTAATTTCAGGTAATCTGGGGGCAAATTCTGCTTCCTTTTACAGGGTGGTGACAGCAGGAGAGCAGCACAATTTCCCTGGATTTGTCTGGGAATCTTGCTCTTATTCCTGGGATGTGAAGTGCCAGCTCTCAGGTGCTTCCTCTGTGCCTGGAAACACAGAGCAAATTAAAGGGGCTCAAACTTTGTCAGAAATCTGAGTTGTTTTCCTGTTTCAGGGAAATATTCTCATTTCTGATGATGAATTTAAACCAATCTCAGAAAAATCATTGATTAAATAAGCAGGGGGGATAAGCGTGATGAGCTTAACCAGAGAATTTGAAAAGCTGCTTTTTTTGTTTGCTTCTTTGCAACTGTTACACTGCCAAAGCAAATGATTGCAGCTTCAAGAAAGAGAAATCTTTCCAATGGGAGATTTTCAAAACCAGGTTTAAACTGGATCTTGGGAAGGAATTCCTCCCTGTAAGGGTGAGAAGTGTCCCAGGCCAGGTTGGGATCGTGGAAGGTGTCCCTGCCCATAGCAGGGGTGGGACTGGATGGCCTTTAAGGTCCCTTCCAACCCAAACCATTCCATAAAATGTAGAAATATTGGAGAAGGTATGAACCTGCCCTTGTAGAAACCAACATCATAAGAAATCCTGTTATTATTTTGATTTATCTGAGCACATGGATGGCTCCTGACCCAAATTACTTCTTGGAACAAAATAAAACACAACTTCCCCATGGCATTAAGAGCAACCATCGCAAAGATAAGAAGAGAAAAAGTTATTTTTTCTTGTTAAAATGCGGATGCAATTTTAAATTTTCTCATAACTGAAGCCTGGGAGTCCATTTCCTAGGAATATTTTTTATTCCATTAAAGCTCTCCCTATGCCTGCACACACTGATGCATGAAAGCAGTGGTTTGGGATGTTATTACATTCCAACAGCTGCTTGCTACTTTTCATTAAAAAGGGACAGACAGTGGAAATAACATTTTTAGGGAAAAAAAAACCCCAAAAATAGAGAATATTTTGATAGCTGTGGTTATCAGGTATTTTCCTTCTGGAAGTGAAAGGGGTTTTGACAAAGCTGCAGAGGGGAATTGTGAGGGCATCACCATGGGATGACGTTTTGGGAAATTCAATCTTGGTCTGGGCAGAGGGATTGGGAAAATTTTCAAATTCAAAGGCTCCACTTTTCAAAGATATTGAGAATGACCTAAAATTAGGGAGTGGGAGCTTTGCAGCTTCCCAGGAACACCATGTGTCAGAGAAAATGTCACAGTCGGCAAAAATACGCCCAAACTGCGCTGAGAGTCTGCATGGAACCACTGAAGGAAGAATTCCATCCACAGCACCCTCCAGCCTTAGGTAACCTCAAGGATTTCAGCATCCCTGGAAGTGCCCAAGGCCAGGCTGGATGGTTTGGAGCAACCTGGAGTAGTGGAAGGTGTCCCTGCCCATGGAGCTGGAGGAGCTTTGAGGTCCCTCCCAACCCAAACCCTTCTGGGATTGATTCTGTGATTCCATGATCCTTGTGATTTCCTTGCTCCGATCCCATTTTAATTGTAACATCAGATATCCTGGCACAACATCCCTCTCCCACCTGGGTTTGGGGTATTTTTAAGGGACATCCCTGCCATCCACACATGTGAAGTTAAATATTCCTTTTGTTTACACTGCAGATTTGAGGGCAGAATGGTGAAGTTGGAAGGAGAAGCCTGGACTGATTGCAGGGCTGCATTTTCCTGTTACCAGTATGAGCTCCTTACTCCTCATCCATAATTCCAGCAGGAGGGATAATGTAGGAAGCACAAGGAAAGTCCTGCAAAGTTTTCCTCTGTGAGGAGAATCCATTTTCCCTCCACTCACACAGAAAACGTTTACTCCACAGAAGGCTGAAGGCATTTGCTAAGCAGAAAAAGCTCCTGCTCATCCCAGCGATTGGAGTGATGGAAAACGTTGTGTCAGGAAGAAAATTTGCTGGTGTTCTCCTAATTATGCAAAAATGCTTCCTCATCACCGTGTTCACTCTGTTAAAAGTCAGTTCCCAGCTCTAATTGCTCCTTTGGGCTCCCCAGAGATTGGGATGCTGCTCCCTCCGTGCCATTCCTGCTCGGATCCCGCTGTCTCCAGAGCCTGCAGAGGAAATTCCAGCTTGTTTTGCAGTCAGGGAAGGTGGCAGTGGGAAGGAGCTCTACCCTTGGTCCCCACACCCTCACCCTCCTTCATTTTCCTGGGAAGGAGCAGCAGCACAAAGGGAATGATCATTTTCTAAATCAGACCTGAAAGGGAAGATAAACAAATCCAAATCTGGAATTTTTCAGCCAGAGGAAGGAAAGTTATAAAAGATACCGAATAAACACAACAGATAAAACAAAGTGAGAGCCCAGCCCCAGCTTGGTCCCCATTCCCTGACCCCCAGCATGGATTGTGCTGCCTGATTGGGACACTGGAATAAATCAGGACATTTTTATCCATGTGCTCCCTTCATGAATTTGGAGCATTGTGGAGGAAACCTCTTGTCCGTGGCAAACGGAGGGAGCTGGGCTGGCTGAGGGCTGGGCATGGAAATAAATGTATTTTTACCCTGCTGTTGGCTCAGACTCAGGCTTTGCCATCTGGAGCAGCAAATATTCCATGTGAAGAGGGCTCTTGACCAGGTTTGGATCATCGAGGATTAGACTGGGAAGGTTTGGCAGCAAATCTCCACGAGGCTGCTCCCAGGAATGACTTCAGCGGGCCTGGGGAGAAGGGATGGGGATTCAGCCCCCCTGGGACTCCCAATCTGCCAGGGATACCTGTGGCCAGGGAGAGGGAAAAGTGCTGATATTCAGCTAAATTTGGGGGTTTTAAAATCCAGCCTGTAATTGAAAGAACAGCCCTTTATATTCCTGATAATATCGGTGGCACCCAGCTCGGGGCTGGAATAAAAGAGCTGCAGTTTCCCCAGTGAGGGCCCTGCTCAGCGTTCCCTGCTGCCAGAAATTCCCATTGTCTCCAGCAGGAGCTTTGCCTGCCTCAAACAAAAGGAATTCTGAATAGGGACAGAAATAACCCAGCACAATCCCAGGCTCTCCATCATTCCCCTCTCCTGGAGTCCAGCAGGGCACAACCTGCTCTGTTCCCGGGAATTCCTGCAGATATCCCACCTGTATCCCAGGCTTCCCAACCAGCAGCACCTGCAGCTCCATGGAAACACCCGAGGGAGATGATCTGGCACCTCAGTTTGGGCAGGAATTTTTGTTATTTGGGGTAATAAAAGAATACAATGTTATTATTGAAGTGCCCAAGGCCAGGTTGGAAGGGCTTGGAGCAACCTGGGACAGTGGAAGTTCTTTCCCATGGAACAGGAATTTTTTTAAGGCCTTTTCCAACCCAAACAATTCCATGATTCCATATAATAATGACACGTTCCAATGAGCATAAAGCTCATTGTTGAGGAGAAGAGGATGAAAAGCTGGAGAGGGAAGCTCCTGGGTTTGCCTTTCCCTGTGTCAGCAGCTGCAGTGCGTACAAACCCCAAGGGAATTTAAAAACAAAACCAAAAAAAAAGATGAAATTTGATAACATAAGATCATAACCTGGAAACATCTCCGAGCTGAGAATCATCCATACAAATGTTGTGTTAAATCAAGCAGCCAGAGCTGCCTCTCTCTATGGAAATCAGCCCCAAACGGAGGATGTGTCATCCCTGCTGCCCCAGCTCTCCCAAGGAAAGTCAAGCGGTGATTTATCATCCTTATCCACGTGTCACACGGGCAGAGGTGCATTTACTGCTTGTTCCTGCTTCCCAAACTGCCATGGGATTCCCTTGGAAGGAGCTGATGAGAACAGGATCCAATTATCCTCTTGGAATAGAGGAAACAAGAAAAACCATTAAAAAATAATTCCCTGATCCCCCCAGGGTTTGTGTTTCTTTTGTTTAAGTCATTATAATGACTTAAAAAATTCCATATTCTATAAAAAGTCACTCCATGACTCTTTATTTTATTATTTTGAGTCATTCTCATTCAAAATACCATTTTTATTAAAGCCAAATGTTCAGGTTTCAATTTAAGGGCCCATTAAAAAATTGGACTTTTGTTCTTTTTAAGTAGGAAAGAGAGGAGAAGGCAAGACCAGGCAAGGAAAGATGTTTTTTACCCAATTCCCTAAATTTTATTGCTCTAAATGAATGTTTAATTCTTACACTGAATATCAAGGTAGGCTTTAATGCAGAATTAATGGGATTTATGGTCAGCTTTCTGCCTCCAGGGAAAAAAATCCCAATTCTTTGCCTATTTTTTACTTCTGGAATTATAAAATGGGTGCTCAGATTTGTAACAATTTTGGGAATGAATTAATAGACCCGGGATTTGAATTTTTGTGGGGGTGCTGATGATTAAATAAAATGTTATATATATATATATATGTATAGTATTATATAATATAAATAGATATTAACATATAGAATACATTGCATAATATAATAATATATTACGTGAGATATATATAAGTATACATATATAGAGTATATTGCATAATATAATTATATATAATCATAATTTCACGTTGGATTTTTACCCTGACAAGAAAACCTTTTGTAGTATAGAGTATTTCTTTTTCCTTTTTCTCCCCTTTTTTCCTTTTTTTCCCCCTAATCATGATTTCTCCCCATTTTTTCCCTTTTTTACTTCTTTTTCCCCTTCTTTTTCCCTTTTCCCTTCCCCATTTGTTCCCCTTTTTTTCTCCCCTTTTTTCCCTTTTTTCCCCCTTTTTTTCTCTTTTCCCCCTTTTCCTCCCTTTTTTTCCCCTCTTTTTTCCATATTTCCCTTTTTTCCTTTTTTACATTTTCCCCCCCTTTTTCCCTTTTCTCCCTTTTTCCTTTTACCCCTTCCCCCATCTTTTTTTCCCTCTTTTTTTTTCCCCTTTTCCCCTTTCTAACACTCCAACACCCAGCCCTTAAACCAAACCCTTCCAACACTCAGCTGAGCTGATTCCCAGCAGCTTTTCCACCATCCTCCCTCAACATTTTTTGGGAAAAGACCCAAAATTCCACCTGCCCAGGCCTGGCTCCAGGGATTTCTGGGATTGGAGCAGGAAAGGTTCAGGTGAGGCCGGATCTGTCTCTTCCCATTTCTGCCCTTTCTGCTGGATCACACAAATGACAGAAATATTGTCTCAAAAATGACTTCAGGGCTCCAAATATTCACCTGACAGACATGGAACGGGCTGGAAACATCCAGGAGAACTTTGGGACAAAAAAGAAATCCCTCTGGAGTCCAGGAAGTCGGGATTAGTCACGAACAGAAATTCCAGCACCTTAAACACCACCTCAAGCTCCAAAACACCTCCAGCAAAAGGTTTTTCACTGATTTTCTGATTAAAAATCTACTCTAAATTGGCTTTTTTTTTAATTTCTGGAGGGTGTTTGTCCAGGAAATCCAGGTTGAACACTTCCCTTAATCATCTCCTCCATGTTGGAGCTGCCAAAGTTCCTGGAATAGAATCCCAGCAGCTGGATGAGATTATTAAACATTTTCCCATCTTTTCCCAAGAGTTTAAAAGCAATGTGAGTGGTCCAGGTTTTCCTGGAGCTCACAGGTCATGTTTAAATCTGATTTATGATCCTTTCAGAACTGATTCTGGAATGAGGAATAGATCAGCTGATGGCTGGAATGATGAACAGAGAGGCTGATGCAATAATTTAGAGTAAATCAGGTTTATAATGAAATTTTTTTTGGCAAATAAATATTCCCCAAAAGAGGGTGAGATTTACTGGATTTACCTGGCTGGTTCACACAACCATCAGCTGGTTTTGCCCACGGATTTTATAGGAAAAAAAGGCTCTATCAATGGATCTGTGAACTCCAAAATTTTAATTCTATCAGAAATTCCCCCATTATCTCACCAACACCTTGGAGTTGTTCTGCCTGAGGATTTTGTCCTGGGAGACTGGAATTAATCTGATGAAATTCTTGCAAGGAAGCATAAAATCAAACCTGCTGGAGAGTGGGACCTGTTAACATTCTTATTTCTTCACCTGTGGAATAACACCTATTTTTCAAACAGTGAGAAAAACAATCTTGGTTTATCATTCCTGGTAGGAAAACCCCACACTGCCAACTTCCCGTGGCATCCCTAAATCTCTTCCCTTGAAAACCATCCCTACTTTTGCTCACCCGTGAGTGGATTCCTGTTGTTAAATCTCTCCACCTCCCGGGGATTGAATATCTACAGCTGCACAAAAGTGAGGTTTAAAATTAGCCTGTAAATCTGGGGAAGAATTGGATATTTGGGGATGGAATATCTATAACCGTGCAAAAGAGAGATTTGAAACTGGCCTGTAAATTTGGGGAAGAATTTAATATTTTGGGATTAAATATCCACAACAACTGGCCTGTAAATTTGGGGAAGAATTGGATATTTTGGGATGGAATATCCACAACAGCACAAAAGAGAGATTTGAAACTGGCCTGTAAATTTGGGGAAAGAACTGGACTCTTCAGAAATCCTCCACTTTTCCCTGAGAGGCTCCTATTTCCAAACCATTGGGACAATCCCATTTCTCCACTGGGTCCATCAGAGCTTCCCTGTGCCTGGGAGACGCTTTGGGTCTTTGGGTGCGGGTGAGTTGTGTGGGTAAGGGATGATTGCAGCACCCTGAGGTGTTCTGGCACTTCTGACAGCTGCAGACTTCCCTTGGAACAACACTTGGATTCCAGGAAGCTGGGCTGATAAATTGGGAGTGGTGTTTGGTCCCCAGGCAGAGCTGACACCGATCTCTGCGAGTCAGGGGTTGCTGCATCAATTTGTGATTATTTCTCCTGACAGCTTTGAGGTGGCTCCGTGCATGAGAAACATTCAAGGGAAGATTTTTTTTTTTTTTCTCTCTTTCTCTTTTCATTTGGTTACTTTTCATTTGATTACAGGATTATTCTGCTTGTTGGAGACACTGATATCTCTTTTGGGGGAAATATGGGAGCTCTCCCTGGGTAAAAGCTGCTGGAGGCACAGTCAGGATCACAAAATAACTCCCATTTATAAAAATATTCCAAATTTATACAAACAGATCGATTCCTGCTTAAAATTGGTGCAAAACTAAAGATTTAATGGATGCATGTTTGGGATCTGCTCAGGAGAAAGGAGTGGATAAAGTCTGACCCATCCTCAGGGATTTTTTTGTCCCAGCAGCTGCTCCTGAGGCCAGAGCAGGCTCCTCCAGGTCCAGAACATTAATTAGGATAAGGATAATTATTGTTTTCCCCTCTGTTGAGAACTCTAAGGATCTTGACCATGTTTCCCCCTCTCTCATAACTCAGCAGTTAATCTCTCCATCATTTACCAGGCCTAATAAAAATGCAGAACCCTTTCCATAATCATTGGGAAGTTTCAATCCATTGAAATTTCCAACATAATCCCATCACTTGCACAGCAAATTTGGAACTGGAATTCCCTTTTTTTTTCCATTTCCTATCATTTCCTGCCTTTTTATTTTAATGGATGAGCATGGTATAATTCATTGCTGATGTGAAAGCACCACCATTCATTTTTCCTCTTTTATTGGGAGTTAAATTTTTGTTTGAGATCGAATTATTACTTTATTATTCAAATCCTACCACTTTAAGTGGCCAGAGGTGAATAATTTGCCTTTTTTATCCTACATTTTGCAGGAAATTTTGGGGTTTTTTCCATGTTAACCTCACAGAATTTTGCCTTGTTTAATTTCAAGTAGAGAGATTTCAAATTTATCTTTAAAAAAATATTCTGGAGCTGAATTTCCCCTTCCAAGCAGTTTCAGTCCCCAGCTCACACAAGTTCTGTAGTTTTCTATTAAATCATTCGAATCAGAAAGGATGGCCCCTTGTTTTCAGATGGTTTTATCTGATATCTCAAAAATAAATAGAAATAAAGAGCTGCTGTTGGGCCAGGGATATCACGGGCTGTCGGTCCTTGGGATCCAAGTGCCATCTTGTGTTCACACTTCGAATTTCAGGAATTTTTACCTTCAAATTCCTCCAAACCGCAGCTCCTGCTCACCATGGAAATGCTTGGAGGGGCGTTTGTATCATTCAGCACTGAATTATTGGAAATTGAAATGCCAGCGAAGCCATTTCATAATAAATAAAGCTGGAGATTTATAAATATGAGCTGTTTACACAATGAATTCTTGGGGTTTACTGTAAAATCCACTTGCAGTCCCCCCAGAGGGATGCAGGTCTGGCTGTGCCATCACCCTCCTCATCCCTCTCCCAACAGGATGAACCTCAGGGAAATTAGAGTTGATTGAAATTTTTATTTTAGCAGAAATTTTATTTTATTTTATTTTATTTTATTTTATTTATTTTATTTTATTTTAATTTTAGCAGAAATGAGGAGGTGGAAATTGTAGGTTTGCAGAAAAATTATGGGGTTTTAACACCAAACTTCTCAGAAATTAAATCTGTATTTCCTGGAAAGGCATGGATTTTAAAAAGTGAAAAAGCTGAAGGACTCATCTTGAGATATTTATAAAGTTTTAAGATAAAAGTTACAATATTTAATAATGGAGCTACATTTTAGAAGGAACTAAATAAAAAACTGAATCAGAGTTGGGACCACATGGAATATCTGGGAGTCAGGATGTGCCCCAGGTCCTGGCATTCAGCTGTTGATGCAAAATCCCCTCTTAATTTACCACGACTTCTATGGAGAGAGATCAAGATCAGAACATTCCAGACTGAAAAAAAAATCCAATTTGATTGATTAATTCAGCCCTAATTGAAAACAATCCACCACAGGTACTCTATGCTTGTACAAAATTCTGTATCAGGACAAGCAGTAACAGGTTGGCAATAAAGAATTTCCAGAAATAAAATAATTAAATTGAATTTGAAATCCAATATCTGAAAAATAATTCATGTGCTGCTCAGCTGGAATTTCCCTGCTGTTTCTTCCTTGTCTACGCTGTTTTCTCTGTATTTAAAGATGATCTCTCCATAAGTAAGAGACTTCCTAAACTCTGTCCCACCAGTAAGGCAAGAACCACCTGGAATGCTCAAATTCCCATTAATTCCCCACTTTCCCAGAGGCTTCCAGGAGGTCTGGGCAGTCACATCCCACTCAAGGCACTGCAGGACTAATGGAGAGCTCTCCCATTTCCTTTCCCCTTCACCTGAGTGAAATCAGACTGAAACCAAGAGAAGATTTACAATAGAAATGAAGATAAAACTGTAAATTGTTTTCTCCCAGGCTTCATTGAGCATGCAAGGCACTGAGGAATAATCATTGGAATAATGCCTGCTCAAATTCCAAACACAAGCAGAGAGAGCTACCACACGTTTTCCAAAAAAAAAGGAAAAAAGAAGAAGTATCTGGAGTGTTTGCTTTCAAACCATTTAATCTTTTACCTCTGCAGAAAAGATGTTTTTTCTCCATTTACATACCCAGAACAATAATAAACCTTTTTATCTGAGGGGGGAAAATGTTAAAAATGTCTCACAATTAATTCTTAATCCTTTTAAGAGTCCTTCTAAGGCAAATGGAATCTCTGGGGATTAAAGGAGCACTTGTTACTCACTCTGCAGGGTCACCAGGAGGAGTTGGGTTAATGACAATTAATCAGCAAGGAAGGCACATTCCCATTTATTCCTTCCAGGATCTGAAGGAAACTATAAGGAAGATGGAGGGGAACTGGAGAGACAATACAAGGGGAAAGGCTTCAAACTGAAAGGAAATTTAAGTTAATATGGAAGGAATTCCTCCATGTGAGGGTGAGGAGGGTCTGGAATGGCATTCCCAGAGAAGTTGGGGCTGCCCCTGAATCCCTGGAAGTGTCCAAGGCCAGATTGGATGGGGCTTGGAGCACCCTGGGACAGAGGAAGGTGTTCCCATGGCAGGGAATGAACTGAGCTTTAATTTCTCTCCCAAGCCAACCCATCCTGTGATTCCATTTTTCCACTTACAAAACCCTGTTCACTCCTAAGCTGTGCACATGGGAATATTCCCAACACAGCTCCCCTCCCCAATGGACAAACCCAAAAACCAGGAAAAATCTGAAAACCCACAAACACCCTGAGCAGCTTTGCTGAGTGCTCCAGCACTGCTGGCTCGGAGCAGCACTTTGGGATCATCCGCAGCAACGCCAATCCCATCCCTCCACGTGAGGAACAGGTTTGTTCCGTTCCCTTTTCCTGCTAAATCCTGCCAAAATGCAGCTCCGTGATCCCTACCCTGAGCTGGAGTGACAGACTGACAGGTGCTGTCAGCGAGGGGCCGGCGACAGCGGGATGGCTTTGGCTTTTCATGGAATTCAACAAGGCACAAGAACAAGACAAAGCAGCAGCATGTGCAGCTCCAGGAGGCCTTTGGCAAAGCAGCCTTAAAAATGCACAATTCCAGAATGTTTGATTAGGAAATAGAGAGCATTATCTAAAGAGTCTGTTCTGATTTGCTGTCACAGACCTGGATATTCTCACTGCTTGGGAAGTGGGTGCTACCAAACCTTCACCTTGTGGTTCAGGTGAGATTTGTGGTTTATTGGGGTTTGTGGTTTATATTGAGGCTTGTGGTTTATTGTGAGAATTGTGGTTTATTTTGAGTTTGTGGTTTATTGGGGGTTTGTGGTTTATTGTGAGAATTGTGGTTTATTGTGAGGGTTGTGGTTTATTTGAGTTTGTGGTTTATTGTGAGAGTTGTGGTTTATTTTGAGGCTTGTGGTTTATTGTGAGGGTTGTGGTTTATTGTGAGGTTTGGAGGATATTTTGAGTTTGTGGTTTATTGTGAGTTCATGGTTTATTGTGCTCAGCAACCTAAACCTTACAACCTCCTGGAGGTTAAAATGTGGTAAAAATAATTATTTAGCCACTTTAGCACAGAGCTGTGGCTTAACATTTGCTGCCACTTCATTAAGTGTTTGTTTGCATGCAGAAAATGCTGATTAAAAGGTAATAATTCCTTCCACGAGCTCAGAAAAACATTGTGGGGTTGGATTGGAAGGGACCTGAAAGATCATCCAGTGCCACCCCTGCCATGGCAGGGACACCTCCCACTGCCCCAGGCTGCTCCAAGCCCCAAAGTGCAACCTGGCCTTCGGCACTGCCAGGGATCCAGGGACAGCCACAGCTTCCCTGGGAATTCCACTCCAGCCTCTCCCCACCCTCACAGGGAGGAATTCCTTCCTTTTTCTACTCCAACCCTGTCCTCTGCCAGTTTTAAACCATTTCCCTTGTCCTGCCACTCCATCCATCATCCAAAATCCCTCTGGATCAGCCAAAACACCATTGCTGGGACCTTCCCTGGCTGAATCCCTGTTGGGATTCACCGCTCTGGAGCTTGGAGGAGCTAATCCTTGAATATTATCCAGCTTTCCTCCCTGCAGGGCTTTATCCCAGGGTGCTGAACCAAGCAGATCAGTTTATCAGCTCAGTTATTATCAGAAGCAATAAACAATGCTGTTTGCCTTGTAAATAAAGGGGAAAAGCAGCAGATAATAAAATCTCCTACTTATAAAATTAAGAGGAAACTGAATCACAGTTGCCCCTGCACAGTTCTAATCCTCTCAGGGCTAATGAAGCCCCAGCCATTCCATGTCCCTGCAGGAACAGCCCAAAAGTGCCAATGTCCAGCAGAGATTCCCATGCCTGGAGCTCAGCCACACAGGCAGAGGTTCAGGATATCGTGGCACAAGCATTTAACAGCACATTTCCTCGTTATCTGTTGCTTTTTGTGTCTTTTTTTCCCATAAAATTCACATTTAAACTCCAGCCATCAGCTGCTTCTCCCTGAGGGGTGACCAGGAATCAGTGGCCTTGTGAAGGGAGCCTGTTCCCTGGGAAATCAGCATATTCTCTGAGGGGAAAAATGGATGAAAAGAAGAAATCCTCGCAAGAGATGGCAAAGAAAATCCTTGTTATTCCTCATACACTGCAGTCCTTGTTCAGTCTCTCCTGGATGAAAAGTTTAACTCGACCTTTGTGTTCCTGCCAAGGTCAGCAAGTGCTGCTCCTGCAACTCAGACTTACCTGGGGCCTGCTTTACCTCACACAGCAAAAAAAAAAAAAAAATCATAGAAAGAGTCTTAAAACTTCAAGAAAAGGAGGGGAAAATTAAAAATTTGGGCCTGTTCTCCATCATTTTCATTTTTCCCTGCTCTTCCATCCATCTGGTGGGAATCCTTTGCTTGCAGTGTTGGAAATGTGGGTTTGGAGAGGCTGTGGGAGGTGTTTCCCAAGGATTCTGCTCTAAACCTGCCCTGCCCTCCATCACCCTCCAGAATTTATCCTTCTGGATGTGTTATCCTTGTTATTTTTCATCAAAAATCCAGAAATTTGGGTTACATCCCGTTCTCCAAAGCAACTTCCAATGGGTTACATCAGCCAGTCCATGCCTGAGTTTAAAAATGAATTTCTGTAGCCAAAGCAGGACACAAAAACATTCCCATGCTGAGCTGCACACAGGAAAAACACAGCCCAAGGAACTTTAATAAAGAGCTGTGCTCCAAAGCCGTTATTTTTATATTTAACTAGGGCTTCATAATGTCATTAAAAATTTAGGTCAAGCACAAGATGTCCAAAGGTTCTCAAGGAACACAAGGATAAAATTATCTGCCAGGAATTGATGTCCACTGTTGGGTAGCAGCAGGTAGCAGTTAATTGAAAAGTGCTTTATCTCTAATTATTCTGCTCCATCCTCCTTAGCAGCCCCATTAGAGTGAATACACAAGAAACAGCCTTAAATACTCTCGAGCCTGATGTAAAAAAGAATATTTGGGAATGGTGATACTCTTATTTTAATCCATGTTTTCCAGAGGAAAAGCCCTTTTTTTTTAGGCTGTATCCGTGATGTTCTCTGAGCCAGCCCTATACATCCCACGATGTTGCTCCCACAAATATAAAATTTAATTTGACTTTAGCTTTTTTTTTTTTTTTGCCTCTACCTTTTCTGAGTTAGACCATTTTTTTTTTTAACCTGCAAATAAAGATGGGTTTATGGCTGGAGGTGTTGCAGCTCATTCTGAGTAACTCCGAGATGCTGCACAGCCTCTAAAAGTGCAAAACCATTCTCAGCCTTCCTGTGAATTCCTTTGGAGATTTCCGAGGCTGTTCTGATCCAGCAGCAGCAGATGGCCCTTGGCTACAGGAATTATTCCAACCCAGAGTTTCCCATTTCATTATTGCAAAGTTCAGGCCTAAGAAATCGCTTTTTCCCTCCTTAGCAAGAGCTGTAACTTCTCCTTAACCACTCTCACCCCAAAACAAATATTTCACTTCATTCCAGCTGCTCCTTCCTCCCCCAATTCTAGATGAAATGCCCACAGAACCAGCAGCATTTTAATGTCCCTGTGTTTTTTCCGTGCTGGGGACAGCTGGTGGCAGCTCCTCATGGCCTCGTTCACCACACAGACGCGATCACGGAATTCCAGAGTGGTTTGGGTTGGAAGGGAATTTAGGGATCATCCAGTGCCACCCCCTGCTACACCTTCCACCACCCCAGGGTGCTCCCAGTCCTGCCCAGCCTGGCCTTGGACACTTCCAGGGATCCAGGGACAGCCACAAGAGGTGTGAGGGGATGAGGGACATCAGTAAGGACAATTCCCAGCGCACAGGGCCCTTCACCCACCAAACCCTTCTGATAAAATTCCCAACAATTCCAGGCTCTTGCACTCGGCTGCACAGCTTCTTCTGGAAAAGGGGAAAGAATCCCCAAAATCACCTGCAAAGCCAAAGATCAGCTCAAAAACCATTCCCAAGGCAGCTCTGCTTTTCCTCGCAGCATTTATGGGAATATTATACCCCATCCCATGAGCTGGAGAGAAAAATCTGCTTTAATCACGCAGAGCACATCCGTGCTTCCTTCCAGCATCCCTCGGACCTGTCCTCCAGGCAGGGCTTTCCCAGGAATTCCCCCTGAGCCCTCCCACGCTCCTCTGCCCTGTTTGGTGCCAGCTTTGATGCTGCAGCAAAAATATCTGCAAAGGCAGAGAGATCTCCCTTCCCCTGCTGAGGGAGAGTTCCCAGGAGGAGAGAATCCAAATCAAATTCTATCCCAGGAGGGGAGAATCCCAGTTAAATGTGGCTTATCTTGAGGGGATCAGGTTGGGTGCAACCTTTTCTGGCTGGAGCACAGCAAAAATGATTCATCTCAGACTCCAAAATATAGGCAAAATTCCCCAACAAACTTTGGCACTTGCAGAGAGAGATGAGAACTGAAAATAAATATTTGCATCCCAAATTCCCTTTTGTGGCAGCCATGTGGTCTGGGGCTTCTCCCATCCCTGGGAATTCCACCTGGCAGGAGAAATAAACAGATTTGTCTAGTCTCTCCAATATCTATAAGTGTTTGTGGGGATTTCTCTTGATTCATATCCTGATAGGAATTCAGAGCTGAGGATAAAACCACCCCTGCAGTTTAAAACGAGATTATTCTGAAATTAAATCCCGCTTTAATCCAGGGATCGTTCTCCCAGCTCTGCCCTGACAAAACTTTGTGGCAGTGACAGAGAGGGAAAACTTGGAAAACCAGATCATGGAACGATGCTGAGTTAGCAAGAGCATAAAGCAAAGCACTGATACTGATTTTCCAATTGCATTTAATGTGGGGAGTTTAAGACTTAAATAAAGAGAAAATCGTGGAAACTTCTCGGAGCCAGAAGCCATTAGCAGACTCTAACTCTATATTAGTTTAAAGGGATTCTGTCAAGTGCATTTTGAGCCTCTTAAATTTTTTTTTTCCATGTAATTAATGTCCCTGCAACATTAGTTCCAGCGTCTTTGAAGCTGGAAAATGGTGTTTGCTTTCTTCTCTTCCCTGACATTGCACCTCCCCTCCCAATTCCTGTGGAGACTCACTCCAGCTCTAGTTGGATTTATTTATTTGGCCCCAATAAATATTCCTGATTCTTGCTTCCCCACAGATCTGTGGGATGCTTTACATCCCACACAGCCTCTCCTGGGGTTTGGGACACTGACAAACTCATCTGGTGCCATTTAGAAATGTGAAACAACATTTTGGGTCCTGTTCGGGCCAAATCTCTTTTAGAACTGTTGGGAAAAGTGTTGATACTGACAAATTTTATTAAATACAAAAATATGGATTGATTTATCCTCATTTTCCTTCCATTAAGCTGAGCATCACTGCAGCTGCTGGGATACAGAGAATTAAGGAGCAGCTTCAGGTGCCTGAGTTCCATAAGTTCCCAGGCAAAATTCCTTCATCTGGGGAAATTCTGACTTATTCAATCCAGAAAAAACCTGCTGAAATTCCAACTGCTGGACTCAGATGTGTCCAAGCATCAAACCCAGCGACTTTCCCAGAGTTAAGGACCAAGCCTTGGAAGTTAAACCAGGATATAAACAAGTTTTGCAGTAATTAGCATTCCAAATGTTCTGTGGCAATTCTGCCTGGAACATTGTGTTATCACTCTCCTGCTTTTAACATGGCTTTGGGGGAAAATAAACACCTCCAAAATGTGGAGACTAAGCTTAAATTCCTGATTTTTGCCATGGATTTGGACGTCCCTTCAGTACAGGATTTTGCTGCCTCCATGAGAGAAGTGCAAAACTGTGCTAACAGAAGTTTTCCTTTCCTGAGCATCTTCCCATCAGGAATATTTCAGTTCTTCTTCCAAACTGGGACACTCTGGGATCAGTGTGGGTTCCAGCTGCCAGGAAACACGGGAATAACCTGTGTTTACATCACCAAATTGAATTATTCAGACAACAAAACAACCTGGAAAAGCCACGGGAAGCAGAAATTCCTTGGTGCCCTGGGTGCACTGCGCCCTTCAGAGAGAGCTGGGCCGGTTTAGATTATCCAAACATCAAGAATGATCCAGGAAAATTATAATCCTATTTAGACTTCTGATGCTTTTATGGTACTTAAAGAACCAAAAAATGCTGTGCCCTAAGTTAGCACAATTTATCTGCCACAGATTTAATATCATTTATTTTATAACATCAATTCACACGGAAATCTCTCTCAAGCAAAATGGCTTTGAATAATTTTAAACCCCTTGATTTTTCTGGTGATCATTTATTAACCACAGCACTTTTATATATATATATTTTTAAAAGCCCTCTTAATTAGAGCTTGTTTTATGTGAATTACTTTCAATATTTTTGAAGGTCTGGCAGAAACAGCCCCACTGCTGCCACTTTTTCAAACCAAGCAGGAACCACTGGGCTCCAGATGGGCTCTGCCCTAAATCCTTCAGTGGCCAAACTCCCAGGGCTGCTTCTGAGTCCTTCTCAAAGTCACTTTGTAAACACTGGTGCTTTAAAGAGCATTTTTAGGGACGTTTTCCACAGGGTCACAAGTGGCCTGAGCCTTTGCTTTAAGCCAGAACTTGGCATGTGAGATATCTTCAGCAGAGAATATTTTTTTTCCCCAGCGAAACTCCAACTCCCTCCTTCCCCTGGTGTCCAAAATTGATGTTGGCAGTTTTGTGCTCTGAGTAAGAAGAAGAGTTTATCAGTTTAAGTGACTTCAAAAGGCTGGGATGAGCATCTTTGATAACACACAAAAATTACAAGGCTGCTCAGCACTGACAGGCTCAAATTTGTGGCCACGCAGAGAAAATTCTCAGTTCTTTCTCGTTCATATTTTATTCCTCCCTGAGCCTGCAGCCTCCTGAACCTTCACTTAAATTCATATTCCACCCCAGAGCAACAATTCCCACAGCACATTCCAGGTCCTGCAGGGGTTTGCAAGGAATAAAACCCCCAAACACTCAACCCAGAGCTGATTCTGATGGCAAAGCCAAGCAAGGAGCAGCTCCAAAGATAAAAATCCCAAAAGGATAAAAAAAATCAGACCTTTGGCAAAGAGAAGGCACCAAGCCCCACCTAAATCTGAGGGAAAGATCTTCTCCTGAGCATTTCAATTACCTTAACGATAATCTCAATGCAAATTCACTGCTGCTGAGCTGTTCTACACCAGGCAGCGAAGATTCATTTTTTAAAACTAATCTGAAGTTTCTTTAGGAGACTTTCAGAAAGTTCCTAAGTTGTTGGGCTGGTAAATCTTCAAATAAAAATAAAAATTCAGTAAAATTCAGCTGCATCAGCCCATGTGGGGTGTTGAGAGCTTGGCAACTCCAGGGTATCTCAAGCCTGAGTGTGCATTAAAAGTGACTGGAAAAGCTGGAAGAAAAGAAACAAATTTTTTAAAAAACAGCTGTTTTGTAATTTTTTTAAGTCTTGGGTAAACACAGAAGGTGCCAAACTGCAGCAGATTGCAAATACCCAAAGCTTGGCTTTTTCTGCACCATTGCCACCCAAGCTGATGATGGGAAAGAATTAATAATGAAGGGTAATTATCTGAGTGGACACTTTTTAATATGCTGAACTCAGGCTCATCTTGTTTATGGAAGGGAAGGAAAGAGGAAAGGAAATTCTGGAAATGCCAAGTTTATAATCTGGAATTCTTTTGACTGGATATTTCATCTTGCATCTCATGACCACCATGTTCTTCTTCTCCATATCCCCTTTCCCTCGAAGGCCAGAGGTGACAGGAATGGGAAAACCCTTCCTAATTCAAGAATCAAAATGGGCTGGAATTTCACTGCCCTGGTTCTTTCCTTCCTCTCCCTAGGAGTTCTGCTAAGGACAAAGGTGTTAAAATAAAATTGTGATTTGTGATCTTTCTACTGAAAAGATTCCCTCTCTTTCCAACTTTGCTGTGAAAAAAAAAAAAATTTGGGCTGGGAAAGGTTGATTGAAAGTTGACAGCTGGGATAGAGAAATATCTGAGGATGAGCCAGTGGGGATCAAGGAGTGTTTAGTGGAAGGGTTCTCACAAACTCCAAGCATCATGGAATTACAGAATCATGGAATTATTTAGGTTGGAAAAGCCCTCTAAGATCATCAAATCCAACCTTTAACCAGCGCTGCCAAGGCCACCTCTGACCCACGTCCCCAAGGGCCACAACCACAGGGCTTTTAAATCCTTCCAGGGATGGGGACTTCACCCCTGCCAGGGCTGGACAAGCCTTTCCATGAAATTTTTTTCCATGTTTTCCACCCTGAGCCTCCCCTGGCCCAGCCTGAAGCTGTTCCCTCTCCTCCTGTCGCTGTTCCCTGGGATAAGATCCCAAACCCAGCTGTCCCCTCCTGGCAGGGAGCTGTGCAGAGCCACAGGATCCCCCCTGATCCCCCTTTTCTCCAGGCTGAGCCCCTTTCCCAGCCCCATTCCCTTCCCTGGCCACGCTCCAGCCCCTCCACATCCTTGTGAGGAGCCCAGAGCTGCCCCAGGGCTGGAGGAGCCCCAGCAGGGCCAGCACATCCAGAAATTCCTGACACAAATCCCCAATTCCTGACATAAATCCCCAATTCCTGACACAGATCCCCAATTCCTGACACTATTTTTCACACCAAGTTTTTCAGAGCTGCTGTAACTTCATGGCTGTCACTGCCAGAATCCCAACTTTTCCCTTGGCCTGAGTTCCCACCCAGCTTTAGCAGCACCCTTGGCTTTGGCACTGCCTTTCAGGCCTCACTTTTCCCATCCTGAGCCACAGAACCCCAGGAAAACACCCGAGTGCAGCTCCTGGCACACAAATCCTGGCACAGAAATGCTGAGCTGCAGCTGCACCTTTGTGGGCAAACCTTCCTGTGCATTCCTAAAACATGGATGGGATGTGGGAATGTTTGAGGGCTGAGCCCTGACAAAACACTTTCCATCCATCCTGTGCTGCCCTAAATCCCTTCTCTGCCTCCTCTCGCTTTCCTGATCATTTTTCTCTTCATCTTTGTAGCCAATAAATTTAAATGTGACACTTCTGCCTCTTGCCCAGCAGCCTGGATTTTGCTGCTTGCTGAAGGGTTTGTACATATCAAAATAAAATCAGTTATTATTTCAAAAGTACCTTTAAAAATGTAAAATACAATAAAAATCATTATATTGCTATAAGTCACAAAACCCAGCTTTAATTTAATTTACTTACATGTGTCATTTATACTCCCTATTAAATAACTATACTTTATATTATTATTAATAATATCATAATAATAATATTATTAATAATATTAATATTAAATCTTTTAGATAAGGGGGGGAAAAAAAGCAAGAACTGAAGGAAAAATTACTTCGGGGGGGAAAAAAAGCAAGAACTGAAGGAAAAATTACTTCTGCTCCTGTTGCAGTTCTACTTTGCTTCCTGCACGGAGAATTTCCAATATCCAAGCAATAACTCCAGACCTAATTGGACCAGTGGGGTCACCAATCCTCTTTAAGAGGCACCTTTCCCCAGGAGAGGGCAGCAGGTTTTTATTCCTGCGTCTCTGCCTAAGCGTTGGATAAAAGATGTGCTAAAAGCAGATGGTAAAACTCTCCCTAGATATGGTTGAAAAAATTGGACTGGCTAGGAGTAGTCCCAGGGGCCTTTTCTCGGAGTGTTGCTGTACAAGGAGAGACAATTCTTTTCCTTTTGGCTGCTGTTGTGTCCTGCTGAAGGAGCGCTGCGCTGGAATGATGGACTCTGTGAAGGGTGAAATGAGGGCTGCTGCTGGTTCCTACCTCCAGTGCTGGAGAGTTTGGGTTCCCACAGACCTGGCAGGACTTTTCTGGCTGCCTGGGCTCGAGTTTTACTCAGAGTGATGTTTTCTGGTGTCACCTGGCTGGGGGGAACCAGGGCCAGGAGCTGCTGGGGGTGAAGCCTTCATGCCTGGGTGTCGAACACGTTGCTTCCCCTCCCAGTTCATTCCCCACCCTTTATCAATAAATTGGTTTTACTGGAGCTAAGTTATGAACCCTCAGGCCCCAGTAACTGAGTTTAGCACCACATCTGCCCAACTCACTCATGGATTTGCCCATCAATTTTCCAACCTTGTGTCCTCAACACACACGAGATGGAGGAAAGACCCAAAAAACCACGGTACAGAAAGCATCTGCCACCCAAAAATAACTCACTCAGCTTCCTGGGAATGAACACAACAAGGCTTGCATCCCTAAAAACCTGCTTTAGTTTTTGTCAGACTTGCCATGATCCCAGCTGCCAGGAAAACAAATCCTTTCTGAGCTCATAGCCCTCAGTTACCATCTCAGTGATTTAATTAAAAAGGAAAAGTCTCCTCCTACAGCCAGGAGACACTGGAAGTATTGGACACTTGGAAAGAAGAGCAAAACAGCTCAGGGACATTGTTAAAAACATCTGGGTATGAAAAAATCCTCATAATTTAACAAGCTGTGCAGACCAAATGCTGAATTTTAAACCAGGCCCAAACCAGGATCTAATTTCCTTGAATTTAACCTGCAGAGCTGCAGCACCACGGCTGGAACCCCCACCTCTGAAACAGCATTTTCATTGTGCAAAATGTGCATTATTCTTAGGAAAAACAGCCCATCCTTCTGCATCCAAAGCCAGGATTTTGGGCTCACCCAGCTCAAAGTGCCCAGAGTTATCAGGAGCGAACAGAACCACCTGGAGCCTCTCACAAAGGTAAACAAAATCCAGCATTACATCCCAGAGATTTCATCCTGCTCACTGCACCGGGGGGAAATGGAGTTGACAGCTCTCCTGGAGAATTCCAGTGCCAGAGAAGTGTCCTGAGCCAAACTCCACCTGGAGAGCCCTCCCTGAGCCTCCAACAGGGACCTCTTCTCCACCCACAAATGGGAAATAAAGAGCAGAACTCCAGCTCAGATCCAGCTGAAGGAATAAACATTTGTTTTCTCTGGAGCTGGGGAAGTTCTTTGTGTTGGGGTGAATTCAGAACACTAATTAAGCCTGGAGTACACTCATTACCCTTCCTGAATGCTCAAAAAACACAGAAAAAAAATCTGCTTTTTTTTACCTTTGGTAGCAACAGCCTCATTTCACCAGTGATTTCTCCAAAAGCCTAAAGGAAAGAGATTTTCATGGATTCAGGAAAAAGAACTTGAAAACTGCTCCATTCCTGAATTCACCAATTTGGCAATAATAACAAATAATAGCAATAATAACAAATAATAACAAATCATCATTATTTAGATTCATGGGCAGGTTTTTTTCTAGAAAGCACTGGAAGCCTCCCATCTCCAGATTCCTTAAGGAGAATGGAAGCACAAATATTTCTCTCAGACAGAGCTTTTACAAAGAGCTTTTTTTTTGGTAAAATATCATTTTCTTAAGCATCAGCAGGCAGGTTTTTCTCACACTCATTTTGCACCTTTTTAACTTACAGCACTTTTAGAGAATTCATTCCTATTTTCACCTTGGATGTCCCAAGAAGCCTCTTTTTCGCTGGAACGGATCCTGCTTTTTCTACCCTGAGAAAAATACCTCAAGCTCAATTATTTATTTAATTTTTTTAATGTCATTTTTATTCAGCGCTTGACACCAGCTCCAAACCCCAGAACGCTGCAGAATTTTACTTTGAAAGAGGTGTTTTTATCAAGCAGCCATTCTCATCCTGGTGTAATATCTCATTTTCCCAGCAGTTGATTAAAATCCATCCTGTTTCGCTGGGATACACCCAGGGACACTCCCCTGCTCCAGAGATACACAGAGGAGATAAAAGAAAATAAAATATCACCGGCAGTGCTGGGAACATTGGTAAAAGCAGATATTCAGCACCTACTTATCTTTTATGTATACAGATATCCGTGGTGACAAATAGCCTATTATGGTCTGTGATTGACTGAAAATTGGGAGCAGAGGCTGGAAAAGAATCCTGAATAACTCTGAGGAGCAGTTCCTGCTCATATTTCATATTACCCACTCGCAAATTGCCCGCAGGGAAAGGAAAATAGGAAAGAAAACAATTTAGTTTTAGCGTGGCTCCAGCTAAAACTGGAGATGGTTGTGGATTCTTCCAGGAATTAATCCAATTAACAGGATTTGGGTTTGCCATTGGGTGGAATTCCAGCATCTCCAGGTATTCTTCCAGGAGGACTTGACCCTACAACGCTGATCAGAAAAGAGGGTGAGAGCTGCAGCAGAACTCATTAAATAATTCACAGTCATAAATACGTCAGGGTTTTTCTCTCTGAGCTCAAGGACACTTGTGCCGAACACCTTCAGTCAAATTCTTACAGCTGGCAGGGAAAAATCCTTGAGCTCCTTCTTGGGTTTCTGTTCAGCCTCCACTTGGGCAAATTCCCGTTTTTTTTCAGGGGAATACAGCCCCGGTGCTGTCCGTGGGAGTTTTGATGTGGACTTCTAAGGATCCAAATGTCACAATTCAGCGAGAGCCTGCAGAGAAACTGAAAGTTTGGCACCCAAAATCCATCCTGGTGCAAATCCCAACCTAGCTGTGGCTTCACTGGCAATCCTGTGAGTATTGGGAAGTTTTACAGTGAATTTCCAGCAGCTGCTGTCCCAAATCTGTCAGAGCTGGACACCAAAATCCTAAAATTCCCAGTCAGATTTGGTGAATTAACCAAGGATTCTGTGGCCATACAAATTATCAAACCTTTTATAAAACTTACTTTTGTCCTAATTACTTTCCACCTTCCCATCCATAGACTCAAACCTACAAACTCCTCTCCTCAGACAGATAAATCCATAATTACCCAGCAGAGATTCCTTTGCCTTGGTTTTTTTTTGTCAGCATGAGCTGCCAGAGAGGAGATGTTGCTCCCATCCTGCTGATCTAATCCAAAATCACTGCTCCTGCCACCCCAGCAGATCATCATTCTTTCCATCCCCTTCCTTCATTCCACCCAATCCATCACGGACCCGGGAGAGCTCCTGGAATGTTTGGGATCCATCATTTACATGGGCAAGCAATTCAGATTTAGCTCCCTTAGTAATTCTTCACCCCTCAAGTCATCAATCTCTTTAGTCCTTTCATCATTTTTTGTGGCTCTTCCAAATCTTCTTGTGCTTCTCCCAAATCTTTCCAGAGTGGAGTGCTCAGATGAGAAGGCAGAGTTCCACCTGCACTCCCACAGGAGCTAGATCCAGAAAAACAAACTCCTCTTTCACCAAATACCCAAAATCAGAACTGTTTTTATTTATTATTATCTATTTATATTATTGTACTTATTTATTTATTATTATTTATTTATATTATTGTATTTTATTTGTCGCTTTTTTTAGTTCAAATTTCAAACTCCTCTTTCACCAAATATCCAAAATCAGAACTGTTTTTATTTATTATTATCTATTTATATTATTGTATTTATTTATTTATTATTATTTATTTATATTATTGTGTGTATTTATTATTGTATTTATTTATATTATTGTATTTATTTATATTATTGTATTTATTTATATTATTGTATTTATTTATTATTGTATTTATTTATTATTGTATTTATTTATATTATTGTATTTATTATTATTTATCTATATTATTGTATTTTATTTGCCGCTTGTTTTTAGTTCGAATTTCAGCACCTAAAAGCTGAGAATCACTGAATCAGCTTTGCAGATGTTTAGGGATTATTTCCTTCTCAATTCATTTCTAAATTATTTTTTTTTTGCAGGAAGTTCAGGTTTGAAAAAAGCTGGAAACACCAAACTTCGTTGAATTTGCTGCATTTTATCACAAAAATAAAGGAAAATGAAAAAAGCAATTTGATTGCCATATAAATAACAAAAAATCATGACTTGCTTTCTGATTCTTGGTGAATATTTTTGCTCAGCTCCTTGAACCTCTCATTTCACCAAAACTTCTCATTCAGGCTGTGACCAGATCCAGAGCAGTTTTTTCATGGAAACAAACTGATTTAGGCTCATCTGAAGCTTTAAAAAACACTATTGCAGGGAAGCTCTGGAGCTCCCCTCTGTATTTTTGATGCTCCCAAATCATTCTTCCTTCCAGGCCCAGGGTTTTCCATGGGAACACCGAATTTTTGAGGTGAAAATTCACCTTTAAAAGGCTCCCAAGGGAGGTCAGGAGCAGCTTAGATGCTTTTCAAGCTGAATAAACACCGACAACCTCCAGAAACCCAACTTTTCCCAGCATGGAGTGAAGTTCCTGAAACAACACTTTGAACCCTGCGCTCATTTCAAGCTGTTAAAAATCACCTCATCCCTTCCACTCAATAATTTTCTGATTTATTACAGAAAGGTGAGAGGTCCCCCCTCCCCTCACCAATTACCTGAGCCCCTGGGTGCTCTCTGATGTGTCTTTGCATGAATAACTTTGTTTTCAGACTTCCTCGTCCTTCTTTAACTTGAATTATTTGTCAAACAAGAGCAATTTTCCCCTCGCAGAAGGCAGCTAATTAGCGTGGCAGGCTGTCACTTTGTCACACCGTGGTGACAAACAATGCAGGAGATTAAAGAGTTGCTAATTGGCTGATACTTCTAGTAGCAATTCCAGCCTGTTAATGCAGCGAGAAAACATCGAAAAGTTGTTTTGATCAGGCTAGGGAAAAAAAAAAATACAACAAAATTCAGCTTTTTCAAGAGTTAGAGTGCTGTACCACAAAAATCCCAAAGGCAGGAAGCCCTTCCAATATGGGATTAAGGGAAATTATTGTTCTGGGTGTTGTGGGAATGTTCTGCCAGAGGAAATTTTATTATAAATTATTCTCAGATTTAGGGCCTTTAATAAAGAGCTGCATTTCCAGATCTTTCTAATTGGGCATTGGACAATGAAGATTAGAGGGATTTGGGATTTTTGGGGTGTTTTTTTTACATGTTAAAAGGATCATGGAATCACAGAATGATTTTGGGCAGGAAGGGACCTTAAACCCCGTCCCATTCCATCCCTGGGACACCTTCCACTATTCCTGGATTCTCCAAACCCATCCAGCCTGGCCTTGGACACTTCCAGGGATCCAGGGGCAGGCACAGCTCCTCTGGGAAATCCATTCCAGTCCCTCCCCACCCTCACAGAGGAGAATTTCTTCCATAATAACCTCAATTTCCTTTCTGCTTTTTGGAAGCCGTTCCCCCCTAGTCCTGTCTCTCCACCTTCCTCGTAGTTTCCTTCCATCCCAGGAATTCAAAACTACTCCAACACGAAACTCTGACCAAAAAATTCCCCACTTTGCCCCACAATAATTCAAAATTTCTCCAGAGCCCCTGAAGATGAGTTAGGAAAGCTTGAGATAGGATAAAATGGCCTTTCGGTTACCAACAATTAAACAGCAAAAGACAAGATAATCAGGGTAATTAACAACATTTAGAGGAAGGCAGGGTTATGAAAACCAACAGCATTAATTTTGTGGCTCTTGGTAAATGCAGAGGTTTGCAGTGGGTGGGAGCAGCGAGGTCAGTGCTCGGTGTTCATCCCCACACCTGCCAAACCCCTGCGGAAAATCAAACTTTAATAGCTGGAATCACATCAAAGAATCCTTCTGAAAAACCCCAGAGCACTCCCTTCTTCGGGGGAGAAAAATCACAGAGACAGAAACATTTAGAAATATCAACAGTACTCACAGTTTGGGGAATATTTGGGATACAAAAGCCTGGATGAGCCTCAATCCTGTTTTTCATTCCAAGGCCTTGCTAAATCTTTGTAATTCTTAAGAAATCCTGGAGTGAGAGCTGGTAAATAACCACAATGTGGGAGATGTTGTCTCCTGCCCTGTCCTGATCAGTTCAAATGAGTCAGAGCTTCTCTTCCACTTCAGTTGCTTTTTCACCTGGAATTTCCTGGTTCCTGCAAGGAAAACGAGGAAAGGAAATAAACCAGGAGAGGAAATAAACCAGGAGAGGAAATAAACCAGGAGAGGAAATAAAAGCACACCCACTCGGTCTCCATGATAAACAGCACAGAGGTTGAGTCAGCCTCCCCAAAATGTAAAAATTCAGAATTTTTTAGATATCCTAAAGGGCTCAGGTAGGGATCTGCCATCCTCTGGAGAGTACTTTTAATTAGGAAAACATTCTGGTGAAAAATGGGCATGGAATTGGGCAAGTGCCATCCTCTGGAGAGTACTTTTAATTAGGAAAACATTCTGGTGAAAAATGGGCATGGAATTGGGCAAGTGTGGATGTCAAACCTAATGGAAAATCCCAAAAAATACCAGTTATTGCTGAGGAAGAGACATGGGAGCTCCTCTTTATCAACAGAATCACCGAAAGGGCTTTGGCCAGAGAAAAGAAGAAATTCATGAGGTTTCTGCTGGCAAAATGTTGTTTTTTTGGCTCCTTCACCTCAAGTCCAAGCCACTGCTGGGTTATTTTCCCCCTTCAAAAGTTCAGAACCTCCTGAAGAGATCCAGGGGAAAAAATAAAATAAAAAAAATTATGTGTTTGGGAGGGATCCAAACGTTCCCACTCTAAAATTTACCTTGATTTTCCTGGTTAAACTCAACACTGACACATCATCGTTACTCATTAATGGGGGAAAAGAATCCCACAAAAGAACCATTAAAGGAGGAAAAGAGTCCCACAAAAGGATCACACAGAACAAATTCCAGCTCCAAGCAAAGCTCCCGATTTCTTCCCAGCTCTTTCCCAATTTAAGGCACTAATTGAAACCACTCTGCCTCCTTGCATCAACAAATGAAGGGTAATTATGTTGTTCCCTCAACCTTGTGTTCACGGATCGCATTGATCTTCATTATATTAATAAGTCAAATGATTCCTTCCTTACTGCTGGCTGTGGAAGCAGGGAATTACCCAGGAATGGATAAACTGGGATGCTGGGCATTGAATAAATCCCTTTTTTCCCTTCTTGCTTGTTTACCATTAATGGTTGTACTTCATCTGCTGCTTAATGCCATTAGTGCCTAAATGGGGTGATATTAATTCAGGATAATTACAGACACTTTAAGGCAAAAACATGGGGATGGCTGCATAATTCTGACCACATTTATCCAGAGGATAAACAATTCCTGCAGGCTGTGGGGTGCAGATTCATTTCCTTGGTCCACTCCTTCCAGGGAAGGAAGCCATGGAAACGCAATAAAAACTCATAATTCCCAGTTGAGTGAAATATCTGGGAATTCTCAACCATCCCTGGTTCTTGCTAAATCCCCCTGAGTACTTGAGCTCACCCCATAACCAATCTGTTTGGAAAACAGGAGAATATTTCAGGAAGAACTCGCTGCCTGGATTTGACTCAGTGCCCTCCCAGCCTGGAATTCATCACTTTTTACCCTCCTCCATTTCCCAAAAATTTTCCAGGAGAGAGAGAGAGAGAGAGCAGAGAGCTCAAAAATATAACTGTGAAGAAGCAGAGGGGGAAAAAAAAAAAAAGCATTTAAACTTTGCTCCATCCTCATGCAGCTATTTTAGATGCTGCATGTGCAAGAAATTCTGGACAAAATTGGCTTTTCACTTGTGCTAGGAATTGATTTTGTTTTAAAAATGTAAATGTATAAAATCCTCCTTCTTTTAAGCAAATTTAAAAAGTCACCTGCGAGCCTGCAATGTTTTAGAAACACCAGTTCTAACAAAGGAGGAATTAATCCAACAGGATGAGTCCTACATGAACAAAAATCTTACTTTATGCATAATTTTATTTCCTTTGTGTTCAAACCTCATTTTTAGGGCGGTTGAATAACCAGGAAAGAAGTGGAGAAAAAGAAGTGGTGGTTAAATAACCAGAAAAAAATTGGGGAAAAAGAACTTAGAGAACAAAGCAGTTTTTTTAAGTATTCTACCCATGATAATGAAATGTAATCTGCTGGAAATTTAACCTCTTATTAATAGGAAGGAGAAATATGAGAAGAGTGTAAGAGAGCTGCTAATGAGGTTCATTTAGCACAGATTTTAATTACACCAACCCAGCCATTCTGAGCTGTTCTGCTGAGATCTGAGCAGAGTTTATCCCCCAATGCACAACCTAGAGGGTAAAAAATGAGAGATAAAACATTGTTCCATCTTCTTAAATGACAAACAAGACAATTTCAAGACATATTAAACATTAAAAGATGAATCTTGCAGAATATGAAATCCTTCAAGTCCCATTTGAGATCTCCAGGGCTGGGCTGACCACCCTGGGAATGGCCCTCATGGAGGAAAGTCGGATCAATCCATGAAACCAGGAATTCTCAGCCATTAATTCTTCCTCAATGCCATTTTTTCCCAGTACAATAACGAAGTTTGATGGTTGTTTTCTTTTAAATATTTTTTTCTTTTTCAAATATTTCTAAGTAGCTTTACTAGAATTAATCACAGCTTTGCTTTCAGAAGCAGCAAATGAGATCCCTTTTTTTTTTCCCAGATTCCACATCAGGCAGGATCAGGATCCCTCTGAGGGATGGGCACAGCCAAACCCACTCTTCTGGATCTGTTTCCTTCTCTGTTTTTTAAGGGAAACTCCAACCTTTTGGTTAACTCCCTTTTCTATTTGATTCCACATCGTTTGTAAGAACTGCTGAAACTGTTGTGTCAAGCCAGCAGCTCTGCACCCATGGACCTCCAGCACGATTTGTGCTGAATAATTCATTCTCAGAGATTTCTGTCTTTGCATCCCAGCCTGGAAAAGCCTAAAGGAACCTGGGAAAACCTAAATGAACCTGGAAAAGCCTGAGGGAACCTGGGAAAATCTGAAGGAACCTGGGAAAACCTGAACGAACCTGGAAAAGCCTGAAGGAATCTGGAAAAGCCTGAGGGAACCTGGGAAAATCTGAAGGAACCTGGGAAAACCTGAAGAAACCTGGGAAAAGCTTAAAGGAACCTGGGAAAACCTAAAGGAATCTGTGAAGACCTAAACAAATCTGGAAAAGCCTGAAGGAACCTGGGAAAACCTAAATGAACCTGGAAAAGCCTGAGAGAACCTGGGAAAACCTGAAGGAACCTGGGAAAATCTGAAGGAACCTGGAAAAGCCTGAGAGAACCTGAGAAAACCTGAAGGAACCTGGGAAAACCTGAAGGAACCTGGAAAAGCCTGAAGGAAGCACAAACTTTGCATCCCAAGAGAAAAGGAGGCTCTGAAGGGATTTTATTTCTCTCTACAATCACCTGAAGGGAGGCTGGGGTCGGTTCTTCCCCAGGAATCAGCGACAGGACAAGAGGAAACGACCTCAAGTTGTGCCAGGGCAGGTTTAGGTCGGATATTCTGGAAGATTTCTCCACAGGAAGGGTTGTCCAACCCTGGCTGGGGGCAGTGGTGGAGTCCCCATCCCTGCAGGGATTTAAAAGCCCGCTGGATGTGGCATTTCAGGGCACCTCATGTTCCCAGAGATCCCTTCCAACCTGGAGAATTCTGTGACTCCATGAAAAAAACAACCAACTTTGCTCTCCCAAATTTCAAGGAAAAAGGAGGGTGCTGCATCCCAGCTTGGCTTCCAGCAGAGTGCCTGACCTTGCAGGCTACAAAATCCAAAATCCTTGGGAGTGTGTGGTAAATAAACTCCTGGAGGCTGTGGGGACGGGAGCAAGGATATTCATAGAACATCAAGCTGTCATTCCCACAAAATGATGGTTTTTTTTATAAAACTAGAGGCGCTTCAGAAGGTGCCTCAAACCACAACAATCTTTTCAGACAATTTTCTCATGTTCTAACTGCCCAAAGGAGAAGGGCTGAGTGCTAAAGGACAAAAAAAAAGGGCATTTGGAAAATCTGCAGCGCTGTAATTACCAACGTGACAATTGCTGTTGTTAAAAGCCTGGAAACAAAGGAAGAGGAAACAAAGGAAGAGGGAATTTAGGAGCTCCGTGAATGTTTAGTGCATTCAAACCTCATTTAAGTCGGAGAACTTGCAGCTTTGGTTCGGTAGCTTTCAAGTTTTATTCATTTAAACAACCCTTAAATCAAAATGGGATCGAACATCGTTAAGCACAGGTGGAATTGGAGCCTGGCAAGTGGGAATTCTTATCAGGGAATGGTGGAATAGTTTGGGATGGAAGGGACCCTAAATCCCATCCAGTGCCATGGCAGGGACACCTCCCACTGTCCCAGGAGCTCCCAGCCCTGTCCAGCCTGGCCTTGGGCACTGCCAGGGTCCAGGAGCAGCTACAGCTCCTCTGGGAATTCCACCCCAGTTCTTTCGCACCCTCCCAGGAACAATTCCTTCCCAATATCCCATCTGACCCTGCTCTCTGTCCATTTGAGATCACCCTGGTGCCTCCTCTGGAGTCGTTCTTCAAATATTTCCATGAAAAACTCCAGAAAGTTCCATTTTCTCGTGGAAATCACCTCCTGAACACCTCAGGTAACCCCAAATCCCATTTTCAGGGAGGGAATAAATTCCTACTTCACCTGAAAATCTGTCCTCTATTCTGCTAACCCCCGTCTGATTTATGGGATTATTGCACCTAAAGCTCATCATGCAAATATTTCATTAAACTCCTATGAAATTTGAAAAGAAGAGGGAAGTGTTCTTATTTCAGACGCAGTGCCAAATTGATTTCTTTATTAGTGATTGAAAGTATCAATTTTAATAACACAATTATTGGTGATATAGCTGGGATTTATTATCTGTGGATAGGACTTTAGCACCACTTGTAAAATTTATGCTTGTGGAAATCTTCATCATTTTCTAATTAACATGCATAACATTAAACAAATTTAATCTTTTAAAGCTAATATGAAAGAGCAAGAGGAAAGAGTGTCCCACAGAATAGAAATGAATTATTTAATTTTTTTTTAAGTTAAACCATCCAGTGGATCTTCCCATCCATTTAACATTCCCAACCTGCAGGAAACATTGGGGAAATCCTCTCTGCTCAGGGGATCTTTGAACCCTTCCCAACCCAAACCATTCTGGCATTCTGTGAATTGCAGTTTCTGTTAATTCAGATTTACAAGGCAGCTAAAAAAAAAAAAATTATTCCATTTTTATCAGAGGGAAATCAGAGAATATCCTGGAAAAATCATTTTAACAGAAAATGAAAGCAATTAAAACAATCTTTTATCATTATTATTTTACACCAATTAACTAGCAGTTTGTACTAATTTCTCCAGTCAGTGCATCCAGTAATGCAACAATAATATCAGCAAAATCATTATAAATATTCACTTTTTTTAGAGCAACTCATTTTACCTCTTCATTGTCTCTCCTACAACAATTTTTTTTTTGCATTTCTTAATTTAAAATATTCTTAAATACCATTAATTGATAGTGAAAAAAAATTTTAAAAAATTAAATAAATTAATAAATAAATTAATTAATAAAAAAAATTATGTTAAAGCAAAGAGATTTCAAGAAATGGAAAAAAATAAAACCAAAAAAACCCCAAAATGTCCTGAGGGCTGTCTGGTCAGTGCTGCTGCTCCTCTTTATCTCAGTCCAACAAGGAACAAACCTCTGGCACTGTGATTTTCCACACATTTTCTCCCTGTGCTCCTTGCAGCTCCAACCCTGGCCTGGAGCAATCCTGGCTGTGACTGATACAGGAATATCCAGAATGGGAGAAAAACTCCTGGAAAAAGCCAAATATTCCATGGACAGGGATTCCCACGGGGTTTGTTTGGGCTATAAAATCCCCCTGGGGGAGTCCTGAGGGCTTTAAAGGATCTTCTGCTGCGTCCACAGCCTCTCCCATCGGGGTTCTCACACCCTTCCCTCTTCCCTTTCCTCCCAGAACAGCCCAAAAT